CAAAAATTTAAGGGAAAAAAATTAAAAGTTGGAAATTTCATTTGATAAATATTTTGATTTACTCTGACATTTTGAAAAATCCTTAACCTTTCGAGCATTGCAGGTTTTTCCTGAAATTTTAACTTTCCAAAATGTCATGAAAGCGGGGTATTTCTTGATGCGAATTTGAAACTCATCCTCTCATTCTTCCTATAAACATCCAACACAAAATTAGATGCTTCAGTAGCTGGCAGAAATTATTATGTGTAACAAATTGAAAAGCTATTCATCTGTGCATAATTTCATGTCCGTAACCCTCGGAGGGTTAAAATTACCGAACAAAATTTGTCCTCTTGATATATCGTCAAGTTGCAATCCAAACTAGTGCATAATTACAGTTTGCATCTTTCAGCCACAGCATATGATTGTAAAGTAATCATTGACAGTGTCTTATTTTGTGGTTGAGGTGTAGTCTTCCAATGGATTACTAATCATTGTAGTTTGTCTGGATATGAAAATACTGACAAGCTTGCAAGAAAGTATCTTTGGGGGTGCCCTCTTCATTCATCTGCTCAGTTAAACAAAAAATGCAAAACACTGGAATTACGGTGGTCTTCGTATTCCTAGAATTAAGGTGGGTGTCATTTTGACCCCTTGATAAGATATCTGCATATTTCTGTTTATGATATAATATATTTGTGAAAAAGAAATTCAAATAAAGCAAATTAGAACAACTACAGTTTATTTTAAAGAATATAGAGACTTTACAGGTATGTAGTCAAGTAATGAACAAGCATTTAAATATTTCCATTGGAAAATGTAATTCCCCCCCCCCATTTTCGATAGCTTACATTTCAGAAACACAGAACATAAAATGTCTAAATATTTACGCAAATTTTTTCAAAAAAAGTGGTTTTTTAATCCAAATATTAAAGTATTTTAAAATAAACTTTTTGTTATAAAGAGTACATAGAAATATATAGAAATATTTTATTTACAGATAATATATTAGACAGCGCAGCAATTAGCACACACACTTATTTTTCTGATTTTTTGTGTACAATATCCGCATACATATTTATTACAGTTGTCGCAAATATTAGAAGTTTTGTTACCTTTGCATTTCCTTACTTGATATTTCTTCCCCCCCCCTTTTTTAATTCTGTTGAATCATGTCCATCCACAAAGCCACTTGAAGAGAGAACAAAATTCTTTTTACTAGATATATATTCTTCTCTTAGTTCTTCTGCCAAATGCAATAGAAAAATCCCTTCTGCCGATATTTTCTTTTGTAACTTCCTTATACAAAATCCACACATTTATGCCTGCTAAGTCCAAAATATTGTAGAATACATGTACTGGCCAATGGTGTTATGGTGTTTTCACGGAGTACTTACTTGCCATTTGATCCAAAACATCTACCCCGAATATTGTAGAATTGTAAAACTGTATTACATCAGGAACCTTCTTTTCATTAGATTCAAATTCAACTGATGAATGGAGTGTACTTAACAAAATTACGTTTTTGTTGCTTTTACCTTGATATGATGTAAGTGTAATATAGTCGTGTTTCATCACAACTGAAGAAAAAAGTTCGTCTCTTAGGTTTTTTAAAATAGACGGAATTTCTCTTTTTGCGCGATTTACTGTTCCAACATGACTCACTCCTTTTGATTTTAGGGATTTTGCAAGTTTCACTGATGTTAAGAAACTGTCTGTAGTTATATTTCAGCCAATATTTTGTAAGGATCAACTAAACGATTTACTATGTTCTCTCCTAAACTTTGATCAGTTGGTCTCATTTCATCTTTTCCTTAATATGGAAATCCGTTTAATAAGTATTTTGTCCTAACGTCTACTGCTAGCCAAAATTTTATTCCGAATTTATCCGGCTTGTTTGGCATATACTGCAAAAAACGGCATCTTGTTTTTGTAGGGAATAACTGTTCATCAATCATAATGTTTTCATTTGGTTTGTAGCAAAGCTTACAGTTTTCTATAAAAGTATTCCATACCTCGGATATTAGTGCAAATTTATCACACTGCAAACGTGAAGACCTTGTTAGTGTATTATCAAAACAAAGAAATTTCATTATTTCCAGAAACCTATCTCTACTCATAGATTCATGAAATAACTTTGGTCCCAAGTCTTGGACCACAAACTAAGAATTGGTAAGTCTTGGCGGCTAATGCCTTCCTTATGTACAACAACGCTATGAATGCTTCCAGTTCTGCTAATAAAATAGTGAAAGAGTCATTATGAAGTTTATGCTTGGCTTCAGCATCAGTACACTCCTTTATGATGCATAAAATATTTTCATTTATTATTAACTTCCACGCACTAAGAGCTTTACCAGAACAAATGTGGTGTTTAGCATAGGATGTCAGTCCTGCATTTTCTCTCAAAATATTTGGCAAGGGTCGCCGACCAGAAGTATTTGAAGTATTTTCTACTTTCCACACAGTTCCATCACTAGCAATTTCTTTACAAGTGTTAGTCTGAATTACGTTGAATTTCATATTCCCTTTTGAGCGTCTACTAGTTCCCGCTTTGGCATTCTTAGGTACGGCAGAGTTTGAACTCATAGAAACAAATCCATTTCTACTTTCACTTGAGCTAGAGGATGACATTGCCTCTCAGAATCACAAGATGTTTCATCTCCATCTTTATCTGTAGAATTATTTTCGATTTCAGAACCGGAATGGGCATCAGATAGTTCTTGCATCAGTTTCACAATTTCTTCATGCGTTAGTCTTTTCTACGCGCCATTAGTACATCACTATAATAAATTCATGTAAATAGAATAAAATTTTCCACTAAAACTTGTTATGAATAATAAACAAAATATCTACGAAAAATCTACAAACGTTCAGCTCGTAATAATCTCTTTTCTCTGTTTTCTTTCCACAAAGAAAAGTATTGCACATATTTCAAATCATGTGAATGGCAGATACGAAACTACGTAGATCCATCATATTCTTTTCCTTTGTTTGTATTTTGTGTAGCAGGTGCAAATAAAAATAGTGTACAGAAGTAACAGTTTTCAGATAATACAATTGAATGCATTCACGTTTCTTTTCTCTCAAAGGGGTCAAAATGACACCTGCCGTATTTCTAGGTATAATCATTTGTTAGGGCTAAAATAAAAATACAATTTTCTTGAAATCTTTAATATTTCTTAAATCACAATGATTTAGGAAAAGTCGAGGAAAGATTTAAGATATTTGCGAAAAAAAGAAGAGCTGCCAGAGATAAAAGTTCGCTAGGTGTCAAAATGACCCCTTCCGTAATTCTAGTGTTAAACAAAATATCTATAAAAAGTAAGCAGTTATGTCCAAGAAGACAACTGTTGCAAGTTATGGGAAGGTTTCTTGGGTACTTGCTTTTGGTGAGACCTACATTGAGCTCTTAAAATCGCATCTTTCTTATCTGTTAACTGGTCATGATTACATGCAAGCTAATTTATATCATATGGGTCTCTCTGGATCTCCACGTTGCGTTTTACGTTGTAAAATTTTCCATTTAAAACAATTCCATATGTTTAATGAAATTCTGTAATATCCAAACCTTCTTTAATGAAAAGTTACTCAATTTTAAACATCCAGATTAAATAATTATCATCCCAGTTTATTGAGATTAAGGTGATACCTTTAGAATAGATGTTGTTATTTAGAATCATCAGTATGAAAACGCTTTCATAATAGCACTCTGTTCAATATATTCACCAAAGATGCTTGTAATTCTATTTTAATTGGAATGTAAAGAAGTTGTTATCTAGTCACTTTTGATGCAAGACCTCTTAATACTAACATATGTTTCAGTACTTCTGCCTATCTTTGAAGCATTGAGAGACTGATTTTTCTGGTATCTGTCATAGATTAGGTACTGCATTGTCTTGGTTATGTTAAACTGGTGCAAAACTTTGACCCATCATGATAAGAGAATACAACCAGAAGTTGCAGGATGCGTTATGTGACAAGTAAAATAGTTGCAGGATGTGTTATGTGACAAGTAAAATAGTTGCAGCATAATGAGAAGTTGGTTTCTGCATAAAGAATTTCTTAACTGTGGTATGGAGAGAAGAGTAACTATAGGCAAAGGAAGGTGTATATGCATGTTGGATACTTCTGGCTGTTTAAATGTCGTAAAAGATGAGTTGGCATGAGAATGTTGAAGTTTCTTTGCATAAAAATCAGATTTTTGTGTTCGTTTTCAGAAATATTTTCTAATTTTAATTTTTCATCGTGAAACAAATATAAGCTATATCATCCTTCAATATTTGATAATTATGTCATATGTATTTTGTCTATGTTATTGAAACATACAAGTTCAATCAACATTCTTCAAATCCTTTAGCTTTTTAATATCGAAGTTTATGACAATAAAAAATCGTTTTTATAATGCCAAATGCTTGCAAATTATATTTTCTTATTTGTATATAGTGCTTACTCAAAATTTTGGGATTTTCATCAAATCCTAGCAATAATATAGAGTGCAGTTTCATTATCAAAGGTAGCATTTTGTAAGCATTTTGGATGTTTAAAAATATAACAGGAATTAAAAACCATTCTAATTGTTTTTTTACAAAAGCACTCTGTGCTAAGATATAAAACACTAGAATAAATATAGTTTGAAAGAAAAGAAGTTAATTTTCTCCCTTCAAATCTCAAATTTTTTATGCCTCTTGTTTGAAAGTTTTGTAAATGCCTTGTGTATGATGAAACTATGCATTTTTAAAACTGTAAGTTTGGTTTACTCATTTATGTGTTGTCTTTAATCTATAAGACCAAAAAAGATTTTCAGTGTTTTTTATTCCCATTCCTCATTTTTTTTACTACTATTACTTACAGAAATATTTTTAATTTACTCAATTTAATGTCTCATAATCGTTATAAATTCTGATTTTGTCGTGTAGAAAGTAAAAATTTCGTATGAGTTTAAAATTCTAATGAATGTGAAATATACTTGATTTGGTATTCATGAATGAATTTTACTTATTGCAATATATTTTTTTAATTAGATTGCCATCTCCTCATCCTGAAATTCATCAGTATCCTACTTGTTTTTTTGCTCTGTTGCGAGATATATTTTGTGAATCAGTTGAGCAAAAGTTGTCTGCTATAAAGGTTGGTAACTATTTTTCTTCCTACTCCCCTCTCTGTTGTAAGATATATTTTTTGAATCACTTGAACAAAAGCTTTCTGTTATTAACATTGGCAATTGCATAAAATATTTCTGTTAAAATGTTAAAGTAATGAGTTTTGTGGGTAGCAGTATAGCTGTGATATAAAATTCCCATCACTGCCATGAGCAGAAATAATTAACATTGATAATATATTTAGCTCTTTTTTTATTTAATAATCCCTGTATTACCTGCTGCCACTATATGCATTGAATCTGACAAATGAGGCAAATATGTTATTAAAAAATCATTACTTATTTTTTATTTTAATTGTATGCTTATTTTCCATTAATGCTTGAGACAAGCAAAATACTGGGAAGAGACTGCTATATATTTTCTATAAATGTTTCTCCTTTCCATACCAAAAAAGATCTGAAGTTCTAAATTTTTTTTCAGATATCCAAATTAACATGAGAGACCAAAGTAAAATGTATTTATATGCTATCTTAAAAAGTAGTTTTACTGTATTTAACTGTACTATGGAAATTCAGTGCACTACAACTATGTTTTAAGTGTGTGTGCAGCTAACTAGACCGTATACTTAAAACGTGAAGGTCTGCAAAATGTAAACTATTACATGTATATCAAATAAAGCACTCGATCATACAGTAATTTATTCATTCAACAGTCAAATTTTGAGCCAGTTCAACAAAATTGAATGTTTGGAGGATTCTGAATGAAAGAATTTAGCTTTCATATTTCAGATTAAGAGAGGAAAAAATTCTGCCAGCTGTGCATATTTACATCCAAAATTTTATTTGTGGAGAAGGTCAACAAACCTGTTTTATTTTTCAATTCCTTCATATTTGCAGAGTTTGGGCCAAAACTGAACATCAGAATTTCTTTTAGTTCTAATTAAAATTAAAATATAAGAGTTTATGAGGAATTTTTGCTCAAGTTGTCACTGCTAATATTAAATAAAAACACACAAATTTAATGTAAAATTATGATACTTTATTTGTACCTTCAATCTGGTAGAATGCAAATTGAATAGATTTCCATTTCTTCTACTGCTTGCAGGGTGGGACCAAGTTATTTAAAATCTTAATACAAAGTTTTTTTTTTCCCCTATTTAAATTGAAGCAAGTCATGGGCTTTCACTGCTTCTAGTTTAAAGCTGCGATTCTCACTAGCTTTAAAATGCTTAAAAGATACAAAAATTTTCTTCAAAATTTGTCAGCCTAAAGGCATTTTCAAATTCAGACCTTCAGCTTGCGAGCAGCAAGCTAATAGACAAAACTGGCCTGCCATAATTGCTAATTCTACACTCTTTTTAAAGCCATCTTAAAAGCATTTTCTATTAAATTGTATTTTCTGGTAAAGACGGAGAAAATGAAAGAGGTTAGAAATAAACAAAACTGTTTAGTTAACATTCCTGTTGTATGTGGTTTCTGTATTGCATTCATTTAGTCTGTTGCTGTTTGTAAACCCATTTAATTTTTTAAAACAAATGAAATTTAAATTTAATTTTAAATGTTCATAAGGGTACTGTTTCAAATTTATAGAATTTTTATGTGTAAAGTTTCAATTTAAATGACAACTAGTTAGGTATGTGGTCTTTTAGTATTTTGCATGTCTTTTTACTATTTTGATAGACTGCAAATGAAATAAACTCTAGACTTGCAGTATATAGAAGGAAAAAGTTGAAATTCAGTAATAGTTGCTCATCGTTCTCACTGCATAATTTGTTGTAAATATTTTGTTTTCCTATTTAGGCTTGAAATAATATTTTTGAGTTAGCCCAACTGTTAGTCTCAAAACGGGATTTTGCAATGATTCACTTAAAAGCCATGTATCACTTCAAATTGTTAACCAATTGTTTCAAACCAAGTATTATCACCCTGTATTATACTAAAAAGAACTGAGTTCCCCTCCCCCTTAAAGATCTGTTTAGCCTGACTAAAAATTCAGAATTAGGTAGCTGCTTGGGCATTTTCATTGCTTCCTCTGTATTTAACATTCATGCATGCTGGTGTAAATGTTAAGGGTAGAGAATGTTTTCTGCAGAAGATCCTTTGTGAAAATGTGCTTTTCAGGGCTTTGGAGCAGGCTATAATTAACAAAATCTTAAGATTAATTCTGTCTGAATCTCCCAAAAAAAAAAAAAAAAAAAAAAAAAATTGGCCATTAAGCAGAATCATAATTGGTGTGGAATTTCAAAGACAAGGTGTACCAAATTAATATATACACTTTAAAACTCAATAATTCACTAAGTTTGCCATCCTTTTAACCAGTTTGGAATACTGAATTCACTTAGATTAAGATTTGAACTGAAAATATTCATCCTAATGTACTATTGGCAGCTTCAAAGTGTATTTAAAATGCAAAGACAGTTTAGGAGAGTTTCAGAGATTCATGTATATGGCTCACCATGCTTTGAATCGGAGGTAAGGTTGAAGAAGACGGAACTGTTTAGTGTGTCCACAGGATTATTCTGGAAGATCATGAATATCATTTCGCCCATCATGGCAAAAAAGAAAAGGAAAAAAAGAAGAGAAAGAATGAAAAAAACATGTCAGGAAAGGAGGCTACCAGAGATGAATTTCTAAATAATGTCCATTTGATTGAAGCTGTCATTGGTAATGTTACATGACAAGAATAATTCATGCTTTCAGTGAAGATACTCTAGACTGACGATTGCAGTTTTAAAGTGATACTTTTCTAGATATGTGGAGGATGCACTGTTTTCAGAAAAGAATGTTTGGAGCAATGTTGTATTTAAAAATAGGAATTCTGACAAGAAAACTACCTATTTTTATGAAATTTTTTTAATTTTGAAAATAAACGGTATGTTAGGGATCATTCAAAGTAAGAACACATTTTAAGGGCCCATGTACATGTGGGTTAAAATATTTTCAAATACCTATTGTACATTTTTATGTCCTATTTTTCAGCTTGAAGAAAAAGTACGAAATTGGCAAGGTGGTCCAACTGCTGCTTTGTTTGAATGGCTGAATTTTCAAGAATCATGGTCTGACCTGGTGTCTTCTGCTTTAAAATTTCTTGCTGGGGATTTGATCAGTATGTAAAAATATAGTATTCATAATTTAAAGCCAATGTAAATTATCAAAGTTTTATAAAAGTACTAATGTGTTTTAAGCATAGCTGAGTTTCTATTCATATTTTATCATTTTTATACCAGACATATCACTTTAGTCATTTGACGTATTGAATGTGCTGTCAGCACAGCTTTTATTCATTTTTAAAACAATCCTGTAGTAAAATAATGAAGTTTATCTAATAAAAATTTAAGACCCATTAATTAGAAATAATAATCACTTGCCTGATATATTTATAAATAATATGAGGACTTGATTCCTCCTCTAATAAATTTAATTTTTCATGCAAACTTCGTTGCATAAAATACTTCATGCAAGCTTCATTGCGTATAGCTGTTTAAATTTTTATAAATATGTACATATCTTCAATAGTGCATGAGGTTAGTTGCCCTTAATTCATAAATAAAGCTAATGCAATTATAGTTAGTTGTGTTTCAGTAATGGTTCATAGCTAAGTTCTAATGCATTTTTTTTTTTTCAAATTAAAAAGCATTTCTAGTTTAATGATTTTTTTAAAATAATTATTAGATTATGATTTTAAAGTAATAAAACTTCATGTTAATATTAATAATGTATTTATAGCATTTGAAAGCATAAATTGTTTGAAATTTCTTTTAACATATCGCTTGTAACCAAATTATAAATTAAGGAATGCTACATGCTAGAAACTAACAAAAGTGTAGCATTGTCAAGGAAAGCTGAAAATGACATTAAACATCCCAAATTTTGAAATATTTTTCCTTAGTTTTTGTCATATTAGAGTCAAAATGTTTATTCCTAATTTATAATTTTTATGAAATTGATTTTTTAAAAATTAAAAATGTTCAAACATGAGTATTTGCATCATTTGAAATATTTTTATTTTTGATGTACGTATCTAAGAACAACAGTTTCAAAATATAAAGGCCAGATTTGAAGTGCCTCACCCTTTTTACTTCCTTGCAAGAAGTAAAGGAAGTAGCGTAGTCTCGAAAAATTTTGAGTATCATATTTTAACGAAAATATCCATTTTTATCTCTCTTGAATGCATTTGAATGATGATTTTGCCTGATATCTGTACATATGGAAAAAAAACCTTTTTTCCAAAATGGATTTAAAATTGATGCAGAACAGATATTTCCGTGACTTCTGTATGTATATACATGCTTATCTCTCATAACTCAAAAACAAGTAGGTGTAGAACATTGAAATTTGTATACAGGACTGCTATAACATCCAGTTGTGCACCTCTGTTTTTCGTTGCAATCGGACACACCAATTGTTATATGTATGCACCCATTCTGTCACATGGTTTGAGTTTTGATATTCTTAAATGTTGATAAATTTTGCGTTTTTGTTGTTGTTGTTGTAAAAAGGCTTGAATTATGTTGTTCTTATGTTCTGGTTAAGGTTTTTATGCCTCTAATGTTTTTTTTCTTTTCAGGTATATTACCTGATACGTTTGTTCCATTTCTGGATTACAAAGAAAAGCAACAGCAATGGCAATGGATTGGATCTGGCAGAGATTCAGATGAGCAGATGTATGGTTTGTGTCAGCAGTGGCTGGAAAGTAAAGATGATATATCATGGGATATTCTGGAAACATCTCAGGGTTCTCCCCCTCCACCTAGAGTGTATGTTATTCATTCATAGAAAAAAATTGCAGTGTTTTCCTACACCAGCATTTAACTACAGTTTATACTTATGGGACTTTTATAACTATACTTTTAAATTTTTCCATTAACTGCTTGTAACAAATTTCCACTAGTTAGAACTGCTGGTTTCTTGGAGGGCATAATTTTAAGGATTTCTTGAACTCCAAGAAAGGAAATCTGTAATAATATAGAAAAAAAGTTATATTCATTATTATAATTGTTCAATGTTTTCGATTTGAATAGGGAAAAGAATTAATTATGAGTTATCTTTTTATTAGTGCCAAATTTTTAGTTAAGTATAGTTCCCAGCAGTTAAAAATTTTTCTTCTTATAAGAAAAAACATTCTTTTGTTACAATCTGTAATTTGGTTGTTATTCCTTTCTTTCCCACTGTCAGCTACAAAATTGTGTGTATTATCCACAAATTTAACTGTGGTTTCCCTCCTCAATCTGTGAATAAAATGTATGATTTGTTTCCTAAAATCTCAGTTCTCGGCACATTATAGATTAGTCTGGCTCATGAATTGCCATTTTTAAAGTGCTTATCAGCTAATTGAGGTAATTTTAAAAGTGAATTGCAATCGGTAGTTATCCAAAGGTTGTTGTTTTAATGATTTTTCTTCTCTATAATGATAATATGAGACAGTTTCCATCAAAATGTGTTCAACTTTTAACTGGTTTTTACGACAAAATAGACAAAATACCTGATCAGCAAAAAAATTATAACCACCTTTACAATATGACAGTGTGCTTGTTGGAATGGCATTGATGAAACATGGCAAATTGTGAAAGTTATTTTATTGCTGCTAGGTATGAGGCTTCATTTTGTTGATTGTTGAAGTGATTTTTGCCATTTGAAGGAAAGAGACTTGCTTTAGAGCATTGTGTTGGGAAATTTATAAACAAAATATCGTTATCATTTAGTACAAGGTGTCTGAAATGGAACTATCATGCTACCAGATTAGAACCATAATGTACTTCCAGTTGTGTTGCAAAAAGTCAGCTATAGAACATGACCAAATCATGTGTATAACTTTAGGTATTAATGTTGTATCATATGACAACGAGAAGGTTTGGTACTAAAAGTTAAAAAATAAGGACTATGACATTCAAGAAGCATAGTGCTCTGGCCGGTCTACTGATGTTGATGAGTTCCACTTGTGAAAGATCAGTATGCAACGACTCGAAAGCATGCTAAGCAGTTAGATGTTAGTGCCATGTCTGTTACTCATGCTGTACAGTGCATAAACTTAACGTACAAGTTCAGTTGCTAGGTTTTACATGAGCTGACTCAAGCAGATAAGGACAGATGTGTTCAGGCCTGCACTAATCTGCTCAGGTATCAATGCAAGGACAAAATTCTGGACTGGATCATCACTTGTGATGAAAACTGAATTTACTTCAACAACACAGGCTGGAAAGGGGTTGGTCTGCAGCTGGCGAGCGTATCGGGAACTTTGCAAAGTACAGTTTGACTAACAAAAACGTCATGCTTTGTACCTCATGGGATTGCTGTGGTATTGTCCATTAATCCTGAGCGTTACAGGTTTAGCTATGAAATTTTGAAGTTCCTCAAAATGACATGAATAAGTGGTATTTTCTTAATTTTAATTTAAAAAAAGTCACTCTCTCATTTTGTACCTTGATTCCTTTTCTTCCAATATACATCCAAACTGAAATCGGATACATTAAAAGCTAGTAGGAATTTTCATCTGTAATTAACAAAGAAGCCAGCCTTCTGTATGGAATTTTCTAGCCATAATGCTGATAGGGTTAAGAGTGTCTGGAGAAAGGTTAAACCCTCAATAGTAAGGTGTACAGCGAGATGCTAGTTCGTGTTGACACTGTTATCAAGGGAAAATGTTGAACTGAGTTCTGGTGTAAAAAAGGTAATGTTCCATCAAGATAATGCAAGACCACATGTGTCTGTATTTGCCGGCTGGACTCTGTACGGCCATGAATGTGATCTTTTGCCACACCCACCATATTGCCTCGACATCGCTCCTTCGGACTTCTACCTTTTTTCACACCGACAGGTACATCTTGAGGTGCTATCTTCATTCTGTGCAGAACATCCGAAATGAGGTTGATCTGTTTTTGAACTTGTGGCTACCAAGTTTGTGGGCTGAAGGCTTTGAAAAATTACGAAAACTTTGACAAAAAAACATAGATTTGGGTGGTGATTAATACCCACAATAAGGGTGCTGCTTTGATGTTTTTATTCCTAACTTTATTAAGAACATTTTTTGGCTGAAAACTTTTGTTACAACCAGATATTTTGTCTGACTAGTATGAATACCTATTTTTTTCATAATATCCTAATATTTTCCATACGCATTTGATAGTGTAATGTGTGGGTCGCTGGAAGGAATGTAATATATCTGTTGTTTTGCAGTTATTTCGGTCTATCTGGAATTATGTGAAATTAAATATTGGTATTGCTTATTGTTGTTTAATTTTTAATGGTAGTTGATAAGAAATATAAATGCAGCATGCCTAAGTTGAATGTTGTTACTTATATAATTATTTCAGAACTACTGGTTGGATTGTCAGACCCACAGCAGAAGAGGAGAAACAAGTTTATCGAGAGCAGGTAATTTCATGATAATTTTTCTTTGAAGAAACTTCTGACTAATTTGTTTGTAATTTTATTTATTTCCCTCTCCCCTTGCTAGACTTACTTGCTTTCTATTCTGGATATGTTACTCACAGCTTTTTAACATTACCTTTGAAATGTTTCTAATTTTGTTAATTTGAAGTTTTTATTCCTCATTTTCCTCTAAAATGTAAAGAATTTGGAGTACAAAAATTGCTAGTTTGATTGTATAATTGCAAGATATGGAACCTTTGGGACTTCAGTGATTTCAAATTTTGGAAAGTCTTGGATTTTAGGTCACAAATTTAAAACTATTAAAATTACCTCTAGAAATTGAAAAATTAAAATTATGAAATGTTTGTTTTTGAAGTAATGAAGGATAAGAGTAACCAAAATTTACAAAAAAGGTTAGTGTTTATTTTGTTTTATTACACATTTCTTTCAATAGAACTTGTTTAAGCAGTTTAATTTTAGTTTTTAATACTTTGTGTAGATAAATATAATTCCTTGTTTGGTTGCAGAGTTCTTTTTCCAAATCTTGTAACTGCTGTATTTGGTAATAAATGATCAGTTGAAATCATTTCATTTTCAGAAACCTCTATATCACTTTTTTCAGTGTCAGTGATGGTATTTTCTGTATTTAAAACTATACTACTTATTTCAATAACCATTGATTGATTCACTGATGATCAGGACATTATTGTCACAATGAGGACTTTAGTTATAACATCTTCATAAACCTTATTTTTTTCATAATCCATTAATCGGAAAATATTACATCTGTTTTTCATTAAAGCTACTTGGCACCATATCAGTGTTTGGAATACATTGGCATATTTTCTTGGTGCCAATATAACCAGTTTGGGTTGGCATCTTTGCTGTTGCAACCACATTTTTAATCTAATCATGGTTCCACTTTACCACCCTTACTGAAACGGATTTGCTGAAAGATGAACAAGCTGTTAACCCATTTCTTAATAAAGAAGTATTTTGCATAAAGAAAGCTAGTGTTTTACTAACCATTTGGGAAGTTAAAATGTGACTGAAAGGGTTTCACCTCTCGGCAAAATTTTCTAGATTTAAAACCATGGTACAGGTTTCACCATTCTGTTAACTGATTGATGATTGAGTCATTACCATTGCTTTGGAATACTTCAGTTTGAATAAGTTCTTCATGTATTCCATTAATCAGAAAATTTCACTTTTTACTTGTGATACCTGAAAACCTTCAAAGTTTTTGCTGTCATCATTATGAAATTTGATAGCTGCCTAGAAAATATGCTAAGCATTTAAAAATGTATCTCTAAGCACATCCTCTCATGGCCTTGCAGTGCTCTGCACAGCAGATTTTATGAAATAGTTTAAACCCTTTGTGGTGCAGAGTCAACCTCTGAAACCACCTGGTAAGAAATTTTTTTCTGAGTTGTGCAGTGGTTTTTACTGTGTTAATACGTTTTTAACACTCAAAAGAACCAACATATGGCAGCACAAAAAATAGCCTTTTTCTGTGTTGATTTATACGTGCTTAAACTTCAAACAAAGATAAAAAATTTCAATTTTTCTCGCTAACTCCAGAAAAAATGCATCTAGTTACCCAAGTAAAATTTATGAATTTTTTATTTATATACTCTTTTATTTGTAAAAACCCTAATATCGAGAGAAATCAACAATAAATTTTGCATATTTTTTATAATTAAACATGTGGTTTTCTAATGAAACCACAGCCATCTTAAAGCTAAAACGTTCCTATGTATCTTCTGTCTGCTAAAGTGGAATGTGGTCTTAGGGCTAAAACATTCCTATATATTTTCTGATTGCTAGGGTGTAATGTGATCTGTAATATGATCTTAGAGCTAGAACTTTAATATGTGTTTTCTAATTTCTAGAGTGTAATGTGATCTAGACTGTGATTTCTGTGTTACGCAAGAGAGGGAGTTTGGTATAATTTTGGGGAGAAGAAAAATAAATAAAATATCAAGCAGGAACTTTTCATTCTTTTATCTTCTTTTTCTAAAGATAGCTGTATCTTTTTACTTTGTACTGTCATTTAATAATCAGAAAGGTATCACATGCTTTCAAAAGTTTCATAATTTGAAAGTTATGTGAATGTGAGAGTAATGACATGTATTTTATATAACTTCTACATACTATTTTTGATGAAAATACAAAGATGGAATGTTATAAATTTGACATTTTTAGCATTTACTAAGTATATTTATATATTTAGAATAACATTATATGAAATTTCCTTCTGAAATAAGATAAAAATAAATAGTATTATTTGTGCTATATTTTTAAATTATGGAGTTAATTCTCAAAAATTCTATTTTTATTAATATTTGACAAAAAAGACCTCAACTAATTATACTTAAGTGCATTATTTTGCTAAAAAAATCAATGTTGCAAAAGTTTACAGATTTCATGCTCTACATAGGTGGTGGTTTCAAACCACCACCCACCTCCCTTCCAAGGTGTGCAACATTTTCTTTTTCTTGATACATTTAACATATACGAAGCTCAAGGGTACTAGTTATCAATTAATTTCATTAAAGACCGAAAAACTTTCAATATGCTCCTCAAAGGGTTAAAATTATTTTATGGTCATACTGCTACATTTATTTTGAAAAGATTAATTTACATTAATCAGATTTTCAATGCATGCAAAATTTCAATATCTTTAGGTTGAATGATAAGTGATAAGCGTAAAATGAAGATGTTATTGTTTACTAAATCTTTTAAAATGCTGAAATTTATAATATTAGATTGTAAGCAAAATAATAAGCTGCTTCAAATCAAAAAGTTAAGAAAGAGTGGAATTTGCAGTGCTAGCTAAGCTTAAACTCGGTAGAGTTTTTTTCCCCTTCTTCCTTGCTAAGCCAAAAAAAGGAAACCAATATGTGCAATACTCCATTCCAAACATGCCTCTTCAGGCTTCACTTATTGTGTACAGTTGTGTACAGGGCTAGCTAAAAGAGGAAAAGCTGCCCTCCCTTCCAGTCAATGATTTGCGGGACAAACATGAAGATGCGGTTCCCTATCACACAGGTGTTTGAAGGCAATTCAGTATGCAGGAGTATTCAACACAGATTCAAGTATTAATGTTTCTTGGTAAGAATAATCTCAGCTAATGAAGAGAAAGTAAGAAATCAACAACTCTTGCTTTTCCCTGAATATCGTTCTTTGTATCTACAGTGCATCTGGAAACAAATTTCTGAAAAAATTGTGTGGGCATCCGGGTAATAGATTATTCCAGTTTTTGGACATCTAGATTTCAAACTTTGTACTATTTTCTTATAAAAATGTTCTTTTTAATTTTTTTATATTAATCATCATTTTTGCAGCACTAAATTTGATAACCGTGTTCAGAATATACAAGAATCAGAAATTGATCCAGAACACCGAACTGTCTGCTTCTCCAGTTTAGCTGTAAAGATGCTGAAGTGCAAAAGTTTCACTTCCATACAACTGAAATTAACTGAGATGTTTCATTTCAAAATTTGTAATTTTTGACCTAATTTTCACTCTGCATTGAGGCATCGGTTAATAAATGAATTAGAACAATTTGAGGTTGATTTTGCATGCCTGAAATACCATTAAGTGATATCCATTTGCAGTTATATTGCCTGGCTTTGGTAAATCTGAATTGATGTATCAGGCATTAATCAATAAATGTCACATTACATCCCCATTCGGCGGGCATACAATTTCAAATATAACAACTGTTGCTTTATCAGCAATATATAGCCAGATTTTAATAGGAAAGTTAACTATAATTTATTTATATATTTTGACTAAAGATACTGTAAATTTATGGAAGTGTTTGTATTTGTGTATTTTGTATAATTAGTAATTCATAGGTAGTAACAGGGTTGCTTATTATTTTGTCCTGTTTTTAATTTTGGGAAAATAGCCCAGGTGAAAAAAAGAGAGAGCCATGTTAAAGTCTATAGCCTAGGTATTAATTTCATTTGAAGTTGTCTAATTCTTCCCATTTTAGTATCATTTAGATGACAATATAAATACATTCAAGAGATTTATGGGTGAGAACACAAATGCATGCTAAAGCCCCTGCACTGAGAAATCTTTTGAGCAGCAACTAGTCTGCTTCTGCACTGGAAATTCATTAGGGTTAAAGTGAATTTAGCTTTAAGCTATGAGAGACTCTGCAATTCAAGGAATTATTTTGTGTGTTAAACAGAAGAGTAGTTATGTTGCCTTTCTACTTGTGTTGCCTGCAGCTTTCTCTCTTCCTTTGTAAAATTTATCACTTGGCCTTGTAGTAAAAGCTGAAGTTTATCTCTTCCCCTTTCATATTTAGTCATGTCATAGAATTTAGTTTCCTTCGTTTCCATTTAAAAAATTTTGAAGTGATAGTTAATAACGGGTATTATTACTGCCAGCCAAAGAAAAGAAATTGAGAATGCTGCTGAAAAGATAATATTTATTGCTACTAATATGGTATATTTGAAAGAAGAAATGAAAGTGACTTCTTGCTGTCTCTGAAATAAGGGAAAAAAATACAAAATAAGAAATGTAGTTACCTGTATTGGAATTAAAGGGAAAGGTAAAAGAGGAAATCAGTAAATTAAAAAAAAAAAAAAAAAAAAAGATTGAATAACACATTGAACGAAGAAATGTACTGAGTTCAAAAGATATTCAGATATTAGAACAGAAATCTCTGAAACCTGCCCTTGTGATTAGTATAAGCTATGTCCTTGCTCTTCTCAACTGATTATTGAACTTTAGATATGTGATGGAAAATTGGAGTGGATATGAAATTAATGTGAAATTAAATTGCATACAGACAAATGGGCAGAATCTCTAGTATCTTATATTTGGCAGCATTGCTATAAGGTGAAGCTGTGGATAGACTGAAATTCTTCCAACAAAGAGAGCAGCTGCTTTGGTGAATACTTTAGAAATCTATAAATGAACTTCTAAAATACAGTTGTGAGCTTTATGTGAAAAATATGGAAAAAGGGGCTTTGTAATTCATT